AATAATAAATTTTTAAAAAAAGAAATAATGTTTCTTGTTTTACATTCTCTTCTGGTTATATCTTGGGTTTCTGTCAACTTTAATTGAAGTTTTCTGTTGATGTACTGCTGCAATAACTTTCGAATTATTTTCAGCAAAATTTTGTGTGTGATGTTGTTAATAATATTGTCTGAAATTTTATACATTCCATTAGGCCACATATCTTTGGAGCAGGCAATAATATATTGATGTCTTCCAGTTGATTTTGCCCATTGAACCCTTCAGTATTACACTCAAGTCTTAAATTTCTTCTTCATTTATTCCATCTTGAAAAAAATGATGTGTGGGCTTTTTAGCTTCCTAACTCCAGGTCTCTGCTGATTTCATTACAATACTTTGCTTTGTCTTCTTGAGCTGCTCTTGGAAATCTTCTGTTCTGAACAGCTGTGCCATAGGTGTATCAAACTCCATAATGGTTACCCATGGTGGACAGTGTTTGGTGGAGCTCCCAGATTGATTCAGGTTTGGAAACAGGAGTGTCATCCTCTTCCTAAACCACATACCTCTGGAAACGTCTATGAATTTGGAAAAATGACGACAGTTATAGAAAGGCTTCAGGCCTTTAGTTCATAGGGTCGCTATGAGTCATAGTATCATCATCCTGCTTCCAAAGAACACTCTGGCTGCACCCTCTCCAAGACATATTTAATTTCTTTTGAAGCATCATCACAATCTAATTGTAAAACACTTCTATCACTCAGTAAAAACACCTGTGTTAACCAGCAGTTATTCCTCAGTCACACCCTCACCCTCACACTTCTCAGTCCCCGTCATTGACGCTGAGTCAGAACTCACAGCCCAAGGGTCAGACTCAACTGATCAGTGGATTTTCAGAGGCAGTAAATCGCATGGGAGGAGATTGTCTATCTTCCTCACGAGGAGCATCTGGACTTAAACTACCTGCCTTTGGGTTGACACTGCAACCCTTTACCCACTCAGTCACCAGAACTCCCTCCTTTCAAGCACTAATGTACTGTTTGTATAGATTTATCTCTTCTGGAAATTTCATATGAATAATGCAATATGTGGTCCTTTGTCACCAGCATGATGCTTTCAAGGTTCATGTAAGGATACATCTTATTTATTCATTTATCAGTTGATGGACATTTGGCTTGTTTATGGTTTTTGGCTATTATGAATAGTGCTGCTATGAACATTTGTAAACAAGTCTGCATGAACATATGTTTTCATTTCTAGGTGTGAAATTATGGAATCATACTGTAAGTCTGTGATTAACTTTTTTGAAGAATTGCCAAACCGTTTTTCATTCCCGTTTCTCTACATCCTCACCAATGCTTGCTCTCTAATAGTAGACATTCTATGCATGTGAAGTGGCATCTTATTTGAGTTTTAGTTGCATTTCCCTATCACTACTTTTAGTTCGACATTGAATAAGAAAGACTGAAGAACGGTTCGAGTCCACCAGATGCTCTGCCAGAGAAGGAGGCGCAATATCCTCCTGTACCAGTCAGATCTGCTTTGACGGTACACGTAGCACACAAAATAATAAAAAAAAAAAGACTGAAGAAGAACTGATGCCTTTGAATTATGATGTTTGTAAAGAACATTTCATAAATCATAGAATTCCAGAAGAATGCAGAAATTTGTCTTGGAAGAAATATAGCTAGACTGTTGATTAGCAGTGAGAATGTCAAGACTTCATCCTCTGTATTTTGGACATGTTATCAATAGGGAACAGTCCACGGAGAAGGATGTTATACTTGGTATAGTGTCAGCAAAAAAGAGAAGGAGCCTCAGCGAAATGGATTAACACAGAAACGGCAACAATTGATCTCAAACAAAACCATAACTGAGCGGGTAACACAGCCTTCTGTGTGGGAAGTGATGTGATGACATCTAACAACATTCTCACTTTGGGGAATATGTCCCATAAATAAAATTGCACATGAATGATGTATATTCACTCATTGATACATTGTGGAAAAGGACAAAAGACTAAAAACTATCCAAATATATATTAGGAAGAGATTGGTAAAATAAACAAATTATCAAAAGAGTACCATGTGGCTGTAAAAGAGAATAAGGACCCTCTCTTTAATCCGAAGTGCAGCCACATCAAAGAGTAATTCTAAGTGAATGGCATAAAGTTCAGAAAGTATATATAATAATGACTCCTTGTACAATGGAATAAGGGAGAGAGGATAAATATAAAACTAATAAAAATAATTATATGTGTGCATACACACGTTTGTATCCTTCTATACATATGCCTATAAATACACACTTCTTCTTGTTATGTGTTGTCAAATCTCCTGTGACTCGTAGTGACCCTATTCACAAAAGTTCTGAACTCTGTCCTATCCTGAGCCAATCTCACTGTCTTTGACACACTTGCCCGTATTACGCTTGTTACTGTGTCAGTTCATCTCATCCAGGTTCTTCCTCTCCTGTGCTGTCCCTTTACCCTTCTGAGCATGATGTCCTTCTACAGGAATTGGTCCTTCCTGACAACATGCCCAAAGTAAGTGAGATGGAGCTTCAAAATCCTTGCCTTTAGAGAGCAAATTGGTTTCACCCTCTCCAGAACAGACCTGTTTATTCTCTTGGCAGTACTCTTCTTCAGCATCACAACCCAAAGGCATCAATTCTTCTTCTATCATCCTTATTCATTGTCCAGCTCTCTGATGCATAGCATGTAATTGTGAAGACCATGCCCTGGATTAGTTGCACCTTAGTCTCTAGACTGACATCTTTACACTTCAGCGCTCTGGAGAAATCCCTGACAGGAGACTTTACTAATTCAGTTCATCTTTTGATTTTTCTGACTGCTGGTACCAAGAGTATTGATTGTAGAACCAAGCAAGCTGAAATTATTAACAATCTCAATCTCTTCTCCATCTGTCATGGTGCTGCCAATTGGCACACTGGTGAGAATCTTTGTTTTATTGATGTTGATCTTCAATCCATATTGAAGACCCCAGTCTTTAACTTTCTGCAGAAGATGCTTCAGGTCCTCCTCAGTCTCAGTGAGTAAGGTTTTGTCATCTACATAATGCAAGTTGTTGATGAGATTTCCTCCAATTCTGATGCCACCTTCCTCCTCATAAAGACCAACTTCCCAAATGATCTGTTCCACATATAGATTGAAAAGATTTGGAGACAGGATGCATCCCTGAAGCACTCCTTTCCTAATTTTGAACCATGGAGTGTTTCCTCACTCTGTTCTGACAACTCCCTCCTGGTCCAAGTATAGGTATTGCATGAGCATAATTTATGTGTGAGAAGAATGGGATTCCCATTCTTCTTAAAGTTAGCCACAACTTGCTGTGTTCCACACACAGATACATTTCTTTTTTGAAAGATGTTCAAGTACATCCTCTTAAAAACAAACACTGTAAGGGGGAAAGAGTGAGGGTTCAAAAGCCAACATCACCTACCAGGTTGTGGTACAGTTCTTTTAAGCAAAGGTCTTTGTTATTCTCATCACAGGGCTGGATAGGACTATGTAAATATGGGTTATTTATGACTCACCAAGGGGATAGCTTGCTAATAAATACATGTTGCTATAAATACATAACTTGCTAAAAAATACTTGCTAAGTAACTACATGACACTTATTAGGGCAGAACTATGCAAATAAAGTGTGTAGATTAAATGGAGATTGGTCAGCATTTCCATCTCAGAGGTGGAAAATGGTGATCTCACTATTATCAAGGAGGAACCAGAGGGTGCAGTGTGTGCTTTGAACCTGCAATTTCTATATGAACTAGAGTTAGAGAGCTGCAAAACCAAAGAGAAAGTGTAAGATAATGAGAAGGCATGAGATGAGAAGATGGAAACTAAGGTACAGACAACCAGAGAATGAATGAGACAGAGTTATGGGCTCCTGACCTACAGAGAGAGCGCTGTATACTTTTTGGAGTGGGCACCTTAAGGGATTTTCCCGGAAAGGCAGGTCTGATCTATGGATCTAGAGCTGAATACCTTTAGGTGAATGTTTGCTGGCAGCGTGGGGGGTGGCACATAACTGGCAAAGCTAAAAGTTTTTTTAACACTAGTTCAAACAAGGCAGAAGGTAAGGCCACAAAGTCAAGGGCTTGAGAGAGACCTACCTGTGCGCATTCTCTTCTTAAGAGGAACGTGCACTATACTTGCCATGACTGTTTCCTGCTCCATCTCCACTATTTATACACGATCAGTATAATGAGATTGCCGAATGAACAAAGACTCCCCAGGATCAGGGAACTCACATGCAGAACCTACTGTTCTCTGAGATCAATGAACAGACAGTCTGATCACACGCCTAGACAACTAGCTTTTTTTTAAAAAAAAAAAAAATTAAAACGAAGCTTTAAAAAGCTCTTTACATATGCTGTAACAGATACAGTCTCTCTTATTTTATCATCCAAATCACTCTTTAAGATAGAGGTTGTTTAACAGTGGCGAGGAAACACCAATTGCTAGATTACATTCTCGAGGCAACAGGAAAGATGCAAACCCAGAGTTGAACATAGACTACGCAGATGAAGGGGTGAAAACGTGCCTTCCCGTGACTGAGAACCACGGCAGGAAAGGGAAGTGGGAAGGAAAGGTCCTCTATTTCAGGACCCTACAGCCCACCACACCGAAAGAACGGCCCTTCTAGTGAAAAGACACCTGTCAATACGTGCCTTTCCAAAATCACGGTATCTGATTGGCAAAGTAGGGGGGGGGGGCATGACAATCCTGATTGGTTAGGTGGACGTCGAACCAGACTTACGCTCTGAGGATCGGGAGAGGAGAGGGCGGGCTTATAAGCTGGATGTCTTGTTTTACTGGTGAAAAGAAAATGAACGCCGAGCAATTCCGAAATGTGATTGGTTGTTACTAAGACACCCCCCCCCCCAAGGCTCTATGGGTCATAGTTACGGAAGCTGGCGAGGGCTAGGCGCGGGATTTGGCCCAAGGAAGGTAGCGGCAGAATCCCAGGTACCAGTAAAGAGGAGTCTCTCTCTACACGCATGGCGACTGCAGACGCTAGTAGCAGCGATGGCAAAGGGCGAGAGGGCGAGTCCTCTGTCACCTATTACCGGTTGGAGGAGGTGGCGAAGCGCAATTCCTCGAAGGAAATATGGATGGTGATCCACGGGCGAGTCTACGATGTCACCCGCTTCCTTGATGAGGTGGGGTCTGGGAGGTGGGCAGCCCCTGGGGGTGGTGGTGCAGAAGTTGAGGGGAGTCGAGCCCGCAGAGTGTGAGGTTTGTGGGCTAAAGGGAATGAGGCTTACCCAAAGGAGATACAGCCAACAAAAGGGACTATGACTCTTGAGGCTCTTCCAGATGGCACTACATTCGGGAGCCTTAAATAACAGTAAGGAGCATACATTGAGCACGCATGAAGCGCCAAACAAAGCTCTAAGCCATCGCCACCCCCATCTTACAGAAAGGGAAACTGAGGCTCAGGGAAGTTGAGAACTGCCAAGGTCACAAAGATACTTGATGGCCTAGGGCTGGGATGCTACCCTTGTCTTTATTATAGTGAGGAAAACCTTATAGTTGTTGCACTAATTAGAATTACCCTTGGGGCCGGAAGGACAGCAGGTGACCTTTGGCCGTTAACTCAGGTTCAGTCAGCCTGTTGCTTAACTTCTCCAAGTTGAAGTATTAGATTTTGTTACATAAGTTTTCTTTAAGAGTGTGGTGCAACTGAAGTTTTTGTTTAAGGAAATTGGACTGAAGTTTGGGGTTTGGTTTTTTTGGTTTTGATTGTGTGTTGGTTTTTTTTTTTTTTCCTTTTAAAAAAAAGCATTAGCTTTATTGAGTTTTATGTGAAATATTTGGTTCCCATTTAAAACATACGGTTTCATGAGTTCCCACAGACCTATTTGCCCATGTAAGTACAACCTCAGGGAGCTCTGATGGCCTAGAGGTGAGGAGTTGCACTGCCCCAAGTCACGCTCTTCGAATCCACCAACTGCTCCAAAGGGAAAGATGGGCAGTCTCCTCCTGTGCGATTTACTGCCTCTGAAAACCCATTGGAGCCTCAGCTAGGAGTGAGTTCCCAATCGATGGTATATAACAACAACAATTACATCCTCAGTGAAGAAATAGAGCAAATAACATCTTAAAAAGTCTTCTATTCCTGCTTTGCAATTATTTCTCCTGCCCTTACCTTCAGGCAACCGCTGAGATGATGCCATTTAAGATTAGTTTGAAGTTTTGGTTTTATGCCTTTATTTTTGATGGATTATTTTATTTTCTTATATTTGAGTTGTAAGTATAAGTCCCCTAAAATACTTGCTCTTCCATCATTCTTCATATATACAATTCATTGGATCATTTAACCTTGCTGTTAATGCTGTAAATGAAACAAATAGTTAATGATCTCAGCTATTGGTCAGAAAGATAGTTTGTTCAAGTTCACGCAGAGGTGGTTTGGAACAAAGTCGACGGCTAAAAAGTTAGCCATTTAAAATCCTTTGGAGCACAATTCTACTCAGACTGTGCATGGAACTGCCAAGAGTAGGATGAAGTTGACTTGGTGGCTGCTAAATTGTTTGCTTCCTGATATTCCTTGAATACACCTGAGTAATAATACGACTTTACTGTGAATAAACTGCGTTAGTTTCCCCCCCTTTCTGGAGCAAATACATTAATAAATACTAATCCTATTAATTTGGAGACCAATGGAGAAATCTTATGTTCTGGCTCTAAATTCCATAATAATATGTAAAACTTAAAAGTTTTCATTAAAAGAAAAACAACTTTTTAGTATTCTTAATGGCTGATAAATTAACGTCTTAGACCTTTGTGACTTCTTGCATTAGTATAGTATCTGGCATTTTGTGCTTTTAGAAATAGTTTCCCAAGATTTCATTCTCAAAATATCGAGATGTGAGAGAACTGGGTAATGACCTTTCTTTTGAGATTACAAGGTACAGATTTGGAGAGTCTGGTCATACATTGGATTAAAGGCAGAGTTGGAGAGGTCCTTTAGTTTCTCTTGTCTGCCTACCATTACTTCAGAATTCTAGTCCTAGGTATGTTCTCTGGTGTTTACCTCTTAAATTTCAGTTAGGATTATAGTGTATTAAAGCATAGTTATTAATGGTACAAAGTCACATTTTTTTCATTTGTGATTTCATGTCCCCAAAATTTCATTATGATTGATTTGGAAGCAACATTCGGTACTCAGCTGAGAAATATATTACTTCAGTTCTAAGGGGTGGTTTCTAAGAAGTTTCACTACATTCCAAAGGAGTCAGAGACCTCACAGATCTGGCAAGGTTTTCCTTGATGCTTGACCTAGAGATCTTTTTTATCTGGTTTGTAGTATTTGTACCTATTTCCAGGGGAGCTGTACCTATTTCCTTGATTATGCCACGCCTAAACATTCACTTATCTATCCATTTGCATATTATAGTCTACTGCATGCTGTGATGTCACTTTAAAGACTAAGGTGCCCCTGATTCAAGCCACCGTCTTTCTAGTGACCTGCTGTATGACCGAGAACTGGTCAGAGAATCAGGATGACAGGAGAATTGAAGAATTTGAGTTGTGGTGTTGAAGAGTGCTGAATGCCCCATAAATTGCCAAAAGAACAAACAGATATGTCTTAGAAAAATTACAAATGGAGTGTTCCCTGAAGACAAGGATGATGAAGCTTCATCTCACATATTTCTCATCTGGTGGATTCAAACTACATGCCAGCTGATTGCAGAGCAGTTTCTTACCACTATGCCACTAGTTGTTGTTGCTGCAACTAAGGAGGACCTGAGGCATTTCCTTCAGTAGGTCAAGGACTGTAGCCTTCAATATGGATTGAAGCACAACATCAAGAAAACAAAGATTTTTACCACTTAGCCAATTGGCAACATCATGATAGACAGAGAAGAGACTGAGATTTTTAACAGCTTCAGCTTGCTCAGCTCCACAATCAACACCCTTGGTACCAGCAGCCAGGAAATCCAAAGACTAATTGCTTTAGGAAAAATCTACTGCCAGGGATCTCTCAGAGTACTGAAGAGCAAACATGTCAGAGACTAAGATGCGCCTGATCCAGACCATGGTCTTTACTGTGCATTAGAGAGCTGGATAATGACTAACGATGATAGAAGAATCGATGCCTTTGAATTTAAAGAGTTGGATAGTGACTAATGATGATAGAAGAATCGATGCCTTTGAGTTGTGGTGCTGGAGAAGAGTATTGAACATACGATGGACTGCTAAGAGAACAAACAGGTCTGGCCTGGAGAGGGTGAAACCAGCTTGCTCTCTGGAGGTCAGGATTTTGAAATGCCCTCTCATTCTTTGGGCATATTGCCAGGAGAGACCATTCCTTGGAGAAGGACATCAAGATTGGAAGAGTGGAGGGACAACACAAGAAAGGAGGACCCTGAAAGATATGAATTAACTCAGTGACTGCTTTAATATGGGGATGGGTATGTCAGAGCCAATGAAATTGACTTAAGATAGAGCAAGATTCAGAGTTGTAGTATACAGGTTTGCTATGAGTTGCAGGCACATAACAGCAACAATGGGTGGCCTAGTGGTAATAAACTGCACTACAGTCAATTAGGATGTAGTTTGAATCCACCAGATGCTCCACTGTAAAAGGATGGGCAGTCTCCTTCCATGTGATTTATAGCCTGTGAAAACCCACTGGAAAGTCAGCTATGAATTGGCTCCAACTCAAAGCACACGCCCCCAGCAACAAATGCTTAGGAAAGAGATACTCGTGAGGGGCTGAAATTTTATGTAGGATTACCATGTTAAGGTGACAAGAATAAAGGTTAGAAAGAGGAAAGAATAAAGGTTAGAAAGAGGATTAGGAAGCTAGGCATGTGGGGTATCTGGAGGAAGAGAATCCTGTGCAAAAGGAACATGCTCTCACCTGGGACAGAAACATGGCTGGTGTGTTTGAAGGACTAGTGACAGGCTGGTGCGGTTGGATAGTGCTGGAAGAAATCAGCAGGGTCACCGAGGGCAGATCATGTGCAGGCTCTGAGAACAACTTTGACTTTTGCTCAGAAATGAGAAGCTTTTGGGCAGAGAAATGACAAACTGTGACTTAAAAGTTTAACAGGTTGCAGAGTGGAGTATACTTGGGGTGGGAGTTGGGGGGGGATTGTGTACCAATGAAGGAGTTTTTCTTTTGCTTTTCAAGGAGAGGAGCGAACTGGGGTTGGGGTTGGGGAGAAAAGTGCATCAATGAATGAATGGAATTCCAAAATCTCTGTAGATGTTCATTGAAATTAATAATAATAATAATAAAAAAAGTTTAACAGGTTCACTCACTGTTAAGGTGAATGAAAGAGATAAGAGCAGAATGGAAGAGAGATCTCACAGGCAATTGTAGTTAGTTAAGACTATTAACAGTTATCTAGACAAGGTAAGGTGATTGTGGTTTAG